TCTTCTAATCATGTAGACAAGCCTAATGCCATCTGTGGGAAGGTTTTACAGTCACAGGAGATAAACGTTGAGGTGTTTGGCCAGAGCAACAAGAAGTATGTTTGGAGGACTCAAAGCAAGGCTTTCAAACTGGAGAGCATTGCAGTATAACCTGCCGAGTACAGTAGTGGCAGTATTATTCTGAGCACCTTTATTTGAAGAGCTACTGGTGCACTGAAATGAGTGTACAGAATATTGTGTATTTCTTGAATAAGAGAACTACCTCTGAGTTTATTAACATCTTTTTTAAATCAACAGCTGTAAATAAAAAGAAATGTTAGGATACAATATAGAAAATTAAATGTTTGTTCATTGAAATTAAATCACACAAAAGTCTGCTAGAGTACATAGAAGATGTGTATATTTCTGCTATTATATATTTTACTTTTTTCATATAAATATAAATACATCTCTTTAGTAAGATTAGGAATCTTATCTTGCAATTTGTCAGGATGTGCAGAAAATTTTGCATAAAATAGTAACTATAATGTTTAAAATAGAAAGACTGCAATGAATAAAATTATAGTGCATAAAGCGACTTCTAAACACGGGAGCGCCTTAGATACCCTGAAAGTATTTACAGAAAGCTGCTGAGTGTGTGTCTGGTTTCCTTTTCTGTTTTTCAGAACAACCACCATGTTTCTTCACATTTTGTGATGGATGAGCTTCTCAAAACCGTTTTAGAAATCCCTCCTATAAATATAGCAGCTGCACTCTTGTTGTACTGTCTGTCATCTCAATGAAATCTCACATCTCTCTCTATAATCAGCCGTTACACATTTATTCAAATAAGATTTGTTATTTTTCATAAATTACTAAAAATGTATATTTTTATTTTGAATGTTGGTTTTAGAAGAGGTATAAATAAATATCCATTGCGTATTATTTTTTTTAAGCAGGAATAATGAATCCATGGGTTCTGGAATGAGGCAGGAAGTACAAATGCATGACCAAATTATTCTGCATCCCTCTATTTTGAGCAATACCATGAAAAGATTAGTGTCCCAAAATCTTGCTCAATGTTGGTTATGTGAAACATATGTGGAAAAATAATACAAATTTAATTGGTTCTATTGTAGAGTTCAACACTAGAGCAATTGAGAGTCGGTCTCTGATTAAACTGATGTGTTGCCATAATGAATAATCTATTATCATATATCTATAAAGAAGATGGGACTGGTCCAAACATGCTGCACTCAATAACAGACTCAGGTGCTGGAAGTTGATTTTTGAAACAAACAAGCAAGAATCTTGCAGATATATTTAGTCCAAAGAATAGATTCACTGTTGAATTTAAGATTATTTTTCTGCCATGAATTTTGTGAGGGACCATATCACATGCAGACCTTAGAACTAACCGACCAGTCTAGACACAAGTCAATAATCTGATGAAAAAATAACTATATGAACTTTCTTAAGTGTTTTTTGGGTCTGATGATGAACTATGAAACTTGACCGAAACATTTCAAACATGTCGTGTTGATATGCTGTTGATTGGACTGTTAACATGTAGCAGCAGTTCTTCCTAACCTTGTAATGTGGGACCGTGGTACATATGTGTGTGTTTGTGTGTTTATGTATGTGAAATATGATTTATTATTTTCTCCTTGCCCTGCGATGGACTGGCGACCTGTCCAGGGTGGACCCCGCCTCTCGCCCGTAGACAGCTGATAGACAGCAGCACCCCTCGATGGATTTTCTCCTTGTTGAAATGTATTCGTACAAGATAATGATCAGAAAGCAACGGAATTTGTTCTAATAGTAATTTCCGCTGAATTACAGCACAGCACCCCAGAAGGTACATTTCACCTCTTCTCAAGCTGACTGTTTACTTGATAGTGTCACTACTTCACTGTGTGCAGAAATTGATCAGAAATTTGACATTTTTGGAAAAGACCAGTTTGGGAAGCATGCTGTTATTATATATTTCTAATAGAAGGGGTTTTATATATAAAGAATTGTACGAAATGATGACTAATGGAATTCAAAGGAGCTGGAACCATGTATTTGTCTGACTTATGTTCTCTCCTTTATTTTATGTTCGAGATTAAAGAAATGTTTAAAATAAAGGGAATATTTTCTTTCTGTTTTCATTTTTTAAGTATTCAATTATTATTTTCCTAACATGTATTAAAATCTTGCTTGTATTAAAACTAACAGATATTTAAATCAAATTATTAAATAAAGCAATTGATTCTATTAAAAGTAAATTTAAATTTTCTTATTTATAGGAGGCCATGTTGGGGAACTTGTATTGTGATATTTGGCCATTAAGTTCAGAGTATTTTGTCTCTCCACCTGTTCTGCTACAGAAAAAGGGCATTTTTCTGACCTTTCTCCAAGCTGCTGTGTCAAGAACGTGATTGAAAACAAACCAGATTCTGGTATTTGTAGCCTTTAATGTTCTGAACAGATATTAGGGCTGTGGTGGTGTTAACAGCCTCTTTGTGGTTTCAGCATCAGCAGCAGCAGGAGGTTTTATGGGGGAACAGTTCAGAGTCTGAATGCATGCAGATCTAACAAAGAAAATGAAACGCTGCAGGATGTGTGTCTGTTACTGTGTGTGTGCCTGTTTATTGGAATTGATAGGTTGGTTTAAAAACAGCTTATTAGGCTGCTTTTATGTGCCTTTCTTCAAGTGCTCGATTTATTTCTGAATATAATCAGTTTATTAATCAGATCGGTTCATGTTGTGGTTGTCTCTCAGGCATTGATCCTTGCTGTTTTTGAGTGCGTGTCTGCTTTTTATTGATTTGTTTTGTTGTTGCAGTTTTGCAAGACAAACTCGTGTTTTATTTTGTAGCAACCCCTTTTTCTCTTCTGATACACCACATCAGAGAAGTAGGAATATATGTGAACATAATAACACACTGCAAAAAATGGAAATCTAAGTAAGTAATTTTTTCTTAAAATAAGTGAATTTTTTTTTTGAATTGAGGACGAAAGTGAGACACTTTGCCAATGGAACAAGACAATTTACATTTAAAATAAGAAAAAAAATATTGCATTGTCTTATTTTAAGTCCATGTTATCTAATTTTAAGAGTAAAGATACTAATTTAATTGGCAAATTATCTTATTTACCTACTCGAATTAAGGGTAAATACACTTAATTTAAGACATTTTTACTTATTTCCAGATCGTTTTTGCAGTGCAGCATGCAGACGGCTGGAATCAGTCAGTGACTGCATCATTTAAATAAATAAAAAGGAGCTTTTCTTCCACAGCGGTGGGTTTCAGATGAAAGAAAATGAATATCTGAGACTTCCCAGGCCAAATGATTTTTCTTTTATTTTAATCTGAAATCCTCTCCGATCAGAGGAAAATTGACGTGAAGCTGCAGAATTACAAAGAATTTTCTGTTTAAGATCAGAGCGAAATGAATTATTGTCTTAAAGCAAGATAATATTTTCACACCTCCTCTTACAGATGATGTTGTGCTGATATCAGGAGCTGCAGTTGATGCAAGCTGGGGAGAATTAACATGATGAATAAAACCTGTTCAGTAGATTGCAAATATCGTTTTTCCTTTCAGGGACATCTGTAAAGAAAAACGCTCATATTCAGAGGTAAATATGGTTTTAATTTCTACAAGTCCAGACGAACAAAAAAAAAAAAAAAAAAAAAAAAAAAAAAAAAAAAAAAAGATTATACAGTAAATTAATACCAGAAAACCATAAAGGTGATAGTGTTTACTATATTTAAAGGTATATTTTGCAAATTGATTTGCTCTATTTTATTTAAACTATTGCTTATCTACACAATGTTATCGAACTTTTCGTTAAAGTAAAAACAGTTTCCGATTTAGAAACAAAAACATATATACCATAGGAAAATGGAGAAAAGGCGAAGCAAATAATTTAATATTAATTAGGTAAATATGGTCACTGTTTCTTAGAAACTGAATATCGGATTGACTTATTACGGAATGCACGACAGAAAGTATTTTATTAGAACAGAACACATACATTAAATACAGACAGAAGAAATAAAATTAGAACCACAATGTGAGTTTATTATGATCGGATAGTGGAGTGATTCCGGTAAATTCAAACATATTAGAGGAAAAAATTAGATAACTAATAAAAAATAAAATTTAATTGTCTCAACTTGGTTAAAGTCTGTAAAACAAGGTTATATATATCGGTGTTTCAAAATCCCTGTGAAATGAAATGTCCTCGGCGCGCTAATCACACCTCGGACCTGAACCGCACATTTTCACCTCATCAGTTTATCTGCGCGCCTGACGCGCCCATGTGTGAACTCCCTGTTGAGTCTTAAATGCAATCAACAGCTTTCATTAAGGTCTGCAGCGGGAATCCACGTTCCAGCACAGTCTCCAGGCCGTGTTGATTAGCTGCGTTAAGACCCGATCTGTTCTCCTTTATGGCTCTGAATGGAAGCGATAATGGGGCCGTTATCTTATCCCGGTCAGGGGAAGAGGGGGGGAGAGAGGAAGCCGCTGCTAAGGAGGGGGATTCTGACCTGGACCCCGCAGAGAGCAGAGCGAAGGCCCCATAATGAGAGGAATAGCAGAGATAATGCTCAGCAGCTTAAGATGAAGTCAAGTTCATTTTGGCTCATGCGTAAAAACAGACAGGTGCTGCTTAAAATCTGTTCCAAAGTGAAGAGCAGAACCGATTCCGATTTCTATAACAAAGCCTGAAAGCTGCAACTTCACATTTACCAAGTCTAATGATTCAGACTCCTGATGTGTCGCGGCCTGCACGCACTGACACCGATGTGTTCCAGAGGGCTCATCCGAAGAGGAAATAATCGGATTACTCCACAGGAAGAGGCTCGCTGACCCGACAGCGCGTTTCCAATAGTCTGCAAACACGGCGGATTATCTTAATTCAATTAATTCTCAATACACAAACCAGTGGCCCGACTCAGCCTCTGCGCAGTGACGTCACTGCCTTTAAGAACAGCCCCACGCGCAGCGAGTCCGCATCCTGAACTGAAGCTCGGTGTGCCGAGCGCGCAGAGGAGAGCAGAGCGCAGCCGCGTCATCATGTCGCCTTCAGTCTGAACTTTCTTTCCTCTTCCTCGGGAGTTTTCAATCCGCAGTTTTATCCAGTTTTTCTTCCTCGGCGCAGCTTTGTGATGCCCGCCGGGATGTTTAGTATCGACAGCATCCTGTCCGGACGGCCGAGCTGTAAGGAACCGCTGCTGCTTCACCGGAGCGGACCGGTGGTGCTGCCCGCCGGCCTCACGGACACCATCTACACCGACTACAGTGGACTGTACTCAGCCGCCCGCGGACCGTCCCCACCGGGCGTCCACGCGGTAAACGGTGCAAGGATCGGATATAACGGCTATTACTACGGACAACTGCAGGTCCAGGGGCCCGGAGGAGGTCCGCCGTGCTGTGGAGCCGTGCCCGGCCTCAGTCCGCAGCAGTGCCCCTGCTTCCCCGCAGGTAGGACGGACCCTCCGTTTTCCAACAACAAATTCATAGAAATGATTTCCTCTTAAAAACAACAAATATGCGTTCAGAAATCATATTTGTTAACTTGTTTCCATTTGTGAAATAAAAACTTCCAGTTTACTGAATAGCTGACATCTTTCCTTCAGACTTTAGAACGTTTTTTTTGTCAGAAAAAAAACAGTAAAATGTGGAATGATTCTAAAACTAAATCTGCACATTTTGTTTCTGTTTTGTTTTTTGTTGTCTTGTTGGCTTTTGTTATTTTCTGTTTGACTGAAACAGGTCTTCAAACTGCAGGAAAAAATAAACATGAGCACAAAGAAAACGATGTAGTATTTTTATATCACCAACCTAACTGCATACCTTTGAAATAAGATAGAAAACAGAAAAAATGGTCTTCATTTCTACATCTCACTCTCCAGTTTCTCTTCCTGCAGGCTATGACAGCGCGGCCTCGGTGCTTCTATCGCCCGTTCCTCACCACATGATGTCCTACATGAACATGGGCAGCCTGTCGCGGACCGAGCTGCAGCTCCTAAACCAGTTGCACTGCCGCAGGAAGCGCAGGCATCGAACCATCTTCACGGACGAGCAGCTTGAGGCCCTGGAGGGCCTTTTCCAGGAGACCAAGTATCCGGACGTGGGGACGCGGGAGCAGCTGGCTCGCAAAGTCCATCTGAGGGAGGAGAAGGTGGAGGTCAGACATTTTCAGATTTATTTTACATTCTTTCAATCCAGCATCTTATAAAGGATTAAATTGATTTAAACCAAGAAAAACTCTCAACAGAACCTGCTTACATTCTCATTATTATTGTTCATTTCTTCAAATAAAATGAAAAATGTGTTTGATTCTAATCAGTTCAGTGCAAAATAAGGAATATATCAAGGAATTTAGTGAATGTTTATAAATATCTAATGACATATAAGTGTAATTGTAAAGTATGTTGTATAGGAAATAATATAGAAATAAAAAATATTTAACCATTAGTATTGTTAGGCCTATAGAAAAGTCTTTATATTATCATGCTAGTTTGTGTAGTTATGCTGTTTTATTTCCAAAATAATATTTAGAAAAATTATAAAAATAATTTTGTTCAAATAATTATTTCGATTGATTTAAAAAATAAATTCTTCTTTTTTTTATTTAGCAAAAATATTCCAAGCATTAGGTTTGTTTACTTAAAGAAATATTTATCTTTATAGAATAAAAAAAGTTATGATCAAATTAGGATATTTAGAAAAAGATTTGATGTTTTTATATATATATATATATATATATATATATATATATATATATATATATATATATATATATATATATATATATAT